CCACCGACATTTTACCTTATGCGACGTGGAAAGTCTCCAAACACCAACAGCAACACGCTTCTCTACAGACACAGGCTTTCTCAATCTCGTTTCCCGTCTCGTTAGATCACCACGAAGAATTCGGCAAAGCTCGTCAAACGTTTCACGTTCCATTCGAAAGTTTGGTTTCACCTCGTCTTCGGTGAACGCTCAAAAGTAGGGCGGTCAGAAAAAGCAGGCTTTCACGCTCTTCAACAAAATCTTCCGTCATTCCTTCACGAAGGAACATAAGATTTTGTAAGGTTATTTGGCTTATCAACCTTTGTAAATTTAATAAACAGACAAAAGTCGCAATTACAGCGATTTTACGGCTTCTCGGTCTCATTTTGATCTCAACTTCTTCGCTAAAATGGATCGTGACTACCTGGCCACATTTATGATGTTAGTTACCTTATCTGTTATTTTTATCGTTAATGATGACAGCTTTGCACAGAAAGAATTTGTCTTGTAGATATGTCTGAACACTTAAGCGGACTTATGGTGACTTGGCTTGACTTAGGCTAAGACAGACTTAGTGCCTAGTGTGAACCCACAATGCCAATGCTGTGGATCGTACTAGCCTGCTAAAGACAACAAGGCCGTAAAGTTCTACGGTAGAATACAATGCATCTTAGAGCTTGCTGACCTTGGCAACTTGACTACACAATCGCTTTATTGAAAAAAGAACCGTCATGAAAGGGTTACTGATAGCTAGCGTCACGTTCCTGATTAACCACATTTTACTGGCTTGACAGTAAAGTTGCTTCTAACATAGTTGTCTACTCTGAGGACAAATAAAAGCAACTCAGCAATACCGGCTCAGGTAACAGGGACACCCAACGAGGATATAGTTCAAAACCACATAAACATAGCATTGTTGAACGTAATTTAGTATTTAAAGTAATATATCAAACATGAGATGCAGTGTTTCATCACCAGATGAAACACCGAGAAGAGAGTTGAAAATACGACGCGCAGCGGAGTATTTTTGACGAACTTCGAGGTGTTTCATCTGGTGATGAAACACTGTGTCGAATGTTTGATATTTCTTCTCAAACAAAATCATTTTTGAAGGAGAAATTAAAGATGCAAAAATGAGCAGTTTTTCATCGGATATCCAAACACTCATTAAACATTAATTTCCTTTGAATTTTCTTTATGAATTATTAATGAGTTTGTGAACGATAGATAAAGGCTTATTTTTATCCCCTAAAAATTTTTCATCTGTTCGGATTTCCTAGCTGAAAGTATAGTGATCCGAAAATTATTGGGATCAAAATTTACCTTTTCGAAAATTTCAGCCAGAAAAACGGCTCCCGAAAATTCTAGGTGACCTTTTTAGGGTAAAAATCTGTTAAAAATGGGCAATTATACCATGTTTTTGATGTTCGAAAATCCTAGGAGAGGCAGGCAAGCAAGAAATTTTACAGAAAATGATCCGAAAATTCTAGATCTCAAATCGTCTTCCGAACAGATAATTTTCCGAAAATTATCGTTGGGTACCCCTGAGGTAAGTCCCCTGGTGTGTTTGTTCCTTTGGACAATCCAGTCCAGTCCAGCCAGTCCAGTCCAGGCTTCTACGTTACCATTACGGCTGTACCAGGTGCCCTCTTTGATATGTTAAAATTCTAACATGACTCCGATGCTTTCTGGTCATTTTTCTATATTTGGTTGGATTTTCTTTGTGCTTAAATCTCTTCTGGGAATTGCCAGTCAATGGAATCGTGAAAAATTTGCAATTTCGACCCCAAAGCGTAGTCATGTTTATAGAATTTAAGATATCTAACGTGGGCTATTAGTCACGAGGCTGTTTTCAGCTTTGAACGGGAATATAACTTGAAAGTGTGACGGACATGTGGCATTTCAAGTTAAGGTAAGTGCTAAACACGAAAACTCAGGGGAATCTGTGCGCTGAGAATTCTGTGTCGTCGTTAAAACCGTGGTCGAATCAATTAATTTAGAATCGGCTATGCCTTGCCATTTACGCCTCAGTTTTTTTTTCTATTTTTTCGAGCGTGATATTTTGAAAAGGGCAAAATCCACGAAGCTGCCACCCCTTTCGTTTTTATTTCCTTTGCAATAGACTTTTTTGGTGACTAAAAAAGTAAAATTCGATGTTGGCAATCGGGGCATCGAACAATATTGTGCGACCGGCAAATCGCTCCCGCGGCGCAATAATAACATTACCACGAACATTTTACATCTAGTATTAACATCTTAAAATGTTTAAAAGATATCGCATTGCTGATATAATGTTTAAGTAATATCGCACTGCCCTGGCACAACTTGGACATTTCTTTTTATATAGTAATAACAGTTTGCGACATTGACATGTTCATAATTATACGTACTGTACGAGCGGGTGATTTACATTTCACTTTGATGATATTTACAAGTACTTTTAGTACAGATAAAGCGATTATAAATATGTGCAACCAATGTTCCAAACTTCGTCAAATGGCAAATGACCTTAACCTTGTTTCCCAAGTATTCTTGAATTTTTAGGCTCTATTCTGACGTCTGATATTGCTCAACTTCTACTTTGGCATGTTCATGGGGTTGCGAATATTTAATGAAGTTGCCTTCCTTCAGCATAGTCGCTTTTCTAAAATGTCATACGATCTTTGTTTGCGTACGCTCGGGGTCATTTAGCAAAGTGTAAACTCAGGTGTTGTTTGTCAAATTTTAGGTTCTGTGGACTGATTCTGAACGGAGACAGGCGAAAAAAAAAACAAACTATTTCAGCTAATAGATGAACATTAAAGTCTTTCTTTCGTTTTTAAGGGAATATGCAAATTTTGCAATTATCAGTTTTTGCTTTAAAGTGGAAATGTCGCAGTCAACAAGTAACAAAGCGGAGTTTGCTTCGAAGTTATTTATTTCTGCTAACGGATTTTTAAAAGTTGCTCTTAATTAGTACTTAAGTACATTAGGAAAATTTCCACTAGGCTTTTGTGCGTTATGGTGACCCTGTTTGGAAGAATGATGGAACGGAACGGAAAAGCGGAATAAACGGAATATTTTAAAATAAGGAATACACTAAAAGACGGAATTTACAGAATATTCTAAAACAAAACACGGAGCCTCTACTTTTTTCAGTCCAGTTCAAATCATTGTAATACAGTGTTCAGCCCTGTTTTGTATTAATCATGCAAGTTTTATTGTTTCATTCCTTCATCAAAATATCATTATATCTCAGCCTTGCTGTGCTGGAAGTGAAGTGGGCTTGATACTTGCATTCCCTCGTCATCCAATCTCCTTATTTTCACGGTTTCCCTCGAACTTTCCTTCTGAAAAAGCTTAAAGCCTGAACTCAGGTGGGTTACGTTAATGGTGAATGAAGTTAGCGAAGAAAAAGTTTTAAAAGAACCTTTGTAAACTGTTTGAAGTGAGGACCTTAGCAGCTCTAGACAATCAGTTACTATATACTGAGTGTTGTGCAGACGATCCCTAAAGATAAAACTAAATAGGGTCTCACGGAAAGACTATAATCAGGGGTACCCAACAAGAATATAGTTCAAAACCACTTAAACATAGCATTGTTAAACGTATTAGTATTTAAACGGTAGATATAGGCATATTTTTATCCCCTAAAAAGTTTTCATCTGTTCGGATTTCCTAGCTGAACGTCTAGTGATTCGAAAATTATATGCATCAAAACTTACCTTTTCGAAAATTTCAGCCAGAAAAAAGGCTTCCGAAAATTCTAGGTGATCTTTTTAGGGTAAAAATCCTTAAAAATGGGCAATTATACTATTTTTTAGATGTTCGAAAATCCTAGGAGAGGTAGGCAAGCAAGAAATTTTACAACAAATGTTCCGAAAATTCTAGATCTAAAATCGTCTTCCGAACAGATATTTTCCGAAACTTGACGTTGGGTGCCCCTGTATAATATTCAGCTGTATATATTATATTGTATTAATAAATTCAATCTTGAAATCAAGGACCAACTTACAAACAACGAGGACCGGTTCCTGATAAGAGGAGAAAACGATGAAATCGGATGAAATTCAGGCTAAGCTGATTTTACAGTCGGGAATATGTATTTTTCGTTTAGCAATTTTTTGGAAGACATGGCCTTCCTTCTTCACGGTCTAACATACAATGATATATAATATTATATTACAATGCAATACTGGATGTAAGACCCCTAAAGAAGGAAGGCCGTGCCTTCCGAAATATTGGCCGGTTAAAGAAAAATATATATTACCGTCTGTAAAATCAGCCTTGCGTCTTTTGTTTCTATTGTATTAATAGCCGGGGAACGTTTCCGACTAATACATTATTCACGATTAACTTAAGTCAAGGTTAGAGTGAATGATGTCAGCAATATTAGTCTTACTTAAAAAACCCGAAAGTTTTTCCACATTACGATAATGTACTCAAAGAAATTGGCCTTTTTTTAAATTTTTCGGTTAAACATGGTTTAAAGAAACAATTTCACGTTCAGTTGTATTTAGAAATGTTGGGACAGAGGTTCAGTTGTTAACTATGACTATATGTAAATGTTTTGCTAACTCACTTCCACGCAGTGAGATTGAGGTTCCGGTAATTAAATTTTTGTCGAGTTTCCATGGCAACTCAATCGCTTTTGCGAATGACCTGGAATGACTCTTCCGTTCCTTTTGAAATATATATTATATAGGTTTATTGTCTGATCATATTGTTATATCAATTTTTAGCCAAAGTATCTCACATTTACTGTGGATTTAACTGACATTATGTCTGGTGGGTCCATACGTTAGCCGTTTAATCTTGGCGACGTTTCACACTTCCAGACAAAAAAATTATATTTTCCCCTGGAATACGATCATCATACGTAACTCATTTATTGTCTTTATGGTGCTCTTTCGACAGCGTCACAGCGATTGATCGAATTTGGAGGCTACATTAGCTAGTAACATCGATAATTCCAAAATTATATCAACCACATTGTAAGAACAGCAAGTTTCACCGTTTTTCCTTAAACTTTACGAGACGCCATGCTACTCGCCGAGTCCAGCCGGAATATCTTCACCAAATGCCGCCGACGATACATCGTGCTTTTTGTTGCCTTAACGATCTTGTTTGTATTTTATATCTTCTTAAACTTGAGAAACTATGGACTTTACACCGGGAATCATCCATTTTTCGCCGCTCAGCCATGCGTGTACCTCAACGAAATGGAAAGAGGACAGCTTTTGGATATGGCCTTAGAAGTTCATAAAATCCTGGATGGTTTTGGCATAGAACACTGGTTGATGTACGGTTCTGTGTTTGGCGCAGTGCGGGCGAAGGGACCCCTCCCTTGGGATAATGACGTAGATATAGGATTCAACGGAACAGGAACTTTTGCACTGATGTCTTTTGAAGAGTTTACAAAACCGTTTAAAGCGAAAGGTTTAAAAGTTTACCATAAGCGTTGGATTACAAGTAATGTGATGAAAGTTTACAGAAGCGATCTACCCCACGTAAAAGTTGATTTATTTGCGTTTTACAATTATCGAGGATGGATGAAGCGCGCTGGCTTGGAGACCTGGATTTTTGCATTAAACTATAATCTTCATGATACATTTCCTGCGCGATTAGTTAAGAAACCTGTTCCGCTTGTTCCGTTTGGTAAATATTCGATGCCCGTTCCGCGAGAAGGGCTAACTATGCAGAAATATCTGTACCCCGATGACTGGTGGATGGAGGTAAAACCTGTGACCTGTCATTAACTAATCTCAAAACAAGCTGTAGACTGCGAGCAGTCTCTCATAGAGAGCTTTAGATCTGAGAAAGACAACGAGTACGAGATGTAACTTAAAGTTTTTGTGCGTGTTCTGAAAAAAAGACACCCTGGAAAGCTTCGATTTACTTTTTTTCACCAAAAAAGTTAGTAAGGTAATTTATACTGAAGGAGGTTAAGCCATCTCCCGATTATGAAAAAACTTCTTGCATTTGAAACTTGTTCCCGCCACTACGACACTCTCGCTAAAACTCGTAGTAGAATGACGACACAGCTATCACGTTTTCCCGCCAAAATGACGCTGCCTCACGAGGAAGCACTACCTTCTATTGAGAAAATCTCGTACTCGCAGTCGTTCTCGTTTCAGAATCTAAAGGTCTCTAGCCACAACTGCAATTTATTTCAATCTCCTTCAAGTTTGTCCATCCTTGTCTCCTTAATGTTTCCTGTGCTATTTATACCTTCTTTTTAATGTTTTGAGTGGTTATTTTTACGCTTCACTCAATTTGGTGGCCGTTCCCGGCACTGTTTTAATTTTGATAAATTTCGTGATATGGCTCCTTTTAACTGTCTGTGGCTGGAAGAGAAGCAGTTGTGTTGTCTGAAAATAGCTTTGAACGCTATGTACGCACTTAACACTTAAGATGCCTCGTGCGATTTTTCAGAAATACCTGTAAGCGGATGAGTAGTTGAGATAATCTTACCCTGTCATTAGTAAGGCATAAATCATCCGCTGGGTGAAAAAAAAAAGCACTACAACGTTTCTTTGTCAACTTGAAATCCCCGGGAGGGGGGTACGCCTGGGAATTCTTGGTGGGGGTGTGTCGCCCGGTTCTTCAAATCCTAACCCGATTTCAGACCAAAAAAATGTAATTATCTACACCCGTTTTCAGACTAGACTTCTAAAATCCGTACCCGTTTTCGACCTGCCCTTTAGGCAGAAATTACGTTATTGTTACCTAGATTAGAGCGCAAACAAAAAAATTATTTAATCCATTTCGAATTCGCATATTTCTCTTTCTTTCTTTCTCGTTTGGAATTGAAACGGTAGATAGGTTCATACACTCCATAGTTCCCAACCCGATTCCAGACCAAAATGGGCAAAGTGTATACCTTTTTCAGACCAAAACGGCGCAAAAACGCTACCCGATGGGGCGGCACATACCTATATGGCTTATATAAGGGAGTCGTGACCCCCCCCCCCGGGGGGGGGCTTGAAATAACCTTACGTATAATGTGCTCAGTCAATATCCGGTCACCTCGCCACTAAACCATATCGCCACTAAGAATAGTCCGCCCGCTTTATTAGTTTGAAATCCCAAGTATACAAACAAATAAAAAGTACTTTTACGAACAGAATTTTTGTCTTACCCGGCTTTATTATCAGATTTCAAAGGAATGACTGGTGGTTGTGAAACTTTTCCCGCCAGTTTTTTTTTTGTCTCTCACATGTCAAAGTTAACATTCACCGAACCTATCTGATTAGCCTGAACGTGGAGCAGGAACAGGAATTAGAAAGAATTATTTTGGACGAATAATAAAACAATTATTGAATTCGGCTTTCGTATCATATGAAGAATTATGGAGATCGAGGAGAGTGTTATCCGTCGAGGCCGAAGGCGGAGGCGGATAACACCCTCCGAGATCTCCATAATTCTTGATATGATACGAAAGCCGAATTCAATAATTGTTTTATTATTCGTCCAAAATAATTCTTTCTAATTGTCATGTTCACTTTTGTGGTCCTCAATCACTTGTGTTAATTTCATTGATGCCTTTCCAATTACGTTGCAATTTCTCTAACAGAATATATATTTTTATTTTTTTGCCGATGTTAGGCTGAAAACATTCTTGTGGAGAATATTCTTTGATTTGAGCGCCTGATTTAATTTCAACCAGCGGTTAATAGAAAGAGTTCGTTACGTCACGTTGCCATGGTAGCAAAATTTCTGGATCTCAACAAACCGTGGTCCTGCCAATACGACAGAAAAAAAAAAGACAAAAAAATGACATGTATGACTTTCCTGCGCATGATTGCACTCAGGAACAAGACGGTAGCCCATACATTTCTTCCATCGTTCGACAATGCAAATGACCGTCTCTGTCAAGAAAGATTGATGAAGTCCAGAAATCTTGCTACCGTGGTAACCTGATGTCACAAGTCTCCACCCTATAGCTTTTTGTGTGTGCTTTATACCATACATGCGTATAATACATGAAACGTTTATCAGCCTTTCATTACCATCTAACATCTGGCAAGTTTAAAGGTGTTCACCGTTTTGTTTTTTTATTTTGTTCTTACGAGAGGCTAATTTCAAACTCTATAGAAGTCGTCAGGTTTGTGTTCCTATCGAAACATATATTTTATATCATTCATATGCACATCTTTTATGTTTTGGCGTTGCTGTGGCAAATGATCCTTTTCGGATATTTAATCTTTTTTGTAGTGAAGCGTCGCGGAACTGAGATTACAAATCAGTTTTTTGATTCCCATCTTAAAAATCAATTTCAGACTTCTGATTTCAGATAAGTAGAGATAATTAGAGTCCAAATTTTCATTTTTAAAAGATGCTTGGTTTAATCCGACAACTTATTAATAACCTACCTACCTACCTACCTACATTAAAATCAATTTTTCAGAAAAGTATAGGTAAATCAAGTCCAAATTTTCATCTTTGAAAGACTGGTTCACCATAATCTATTTCAAAATTAAGCCAAACAAATTTTTTAAATATATTCCACAACAGGCAGGAATTATGATTCGCTTTTGTCCACGATAAGACTGTTATTCTTTTCACTTATCTTCAGTTTTTTTTTCAACTTGTGAAAATGAATCGCACAACCATCTGCAAAATGTCAGTTTACCTGTTAAAAAACAATTCATAACTTAATGAATACAAGAAAATTCCCAATTGTCCCAAAACTAATTAAAGTAAACGCCTTCGTACACGTAATAAGCAACTCCCAGCAACGTTGGCAATTTTATGGTTCGACTTCAGTCTTTTTCACCGACCTCAAACAGTGTCAAAACCGAGTAGGCTTCAGTTTACTTTATCATGTTTAATGATACTCAAACAGATATAAACTCTTCATCTGTGGCCAGCTACAGGCCAGTTTTTTCTTGCCCACAAAGTCCAAACTTTGTGTGGGACACAACTAATGAAATTTTCCCCTGGATAATGGTCGCAATCGTATCTATCGCATCACCTGCTGCAGTCATTTTGAACATTTTGGTCATCTCAGCAGTGAAATCAAGAAAGGAACTGCAAAAAAACTCGAACGTTTTGTTGTCGAGCATGGCTGTTGCGGACATTTTGGTAGGTGCTATAAACATGCCTTTATCAGCCCTTGTTGAATTTGTCATTTCCCGGCAAGTTTATAATAACGCCATTTGTCAGGTAGACGTGGTTAATGTTTACTTGATGTTCGCTTTTACGGGTTGTTCTCTTTATCATTTAACCTTGATCGCTTGGGAGAGATACCAGGCAATAGGGAAATGTTTTGAGTACAAAGCTAAAATGACAAAACGTCGCCTCAAGAAACTCGCAATAACAGCTTGGTTCTTAGCCGCGTTAACAAGTATTCCAGGCATTGTGCTAACAGCCCTGGGCATCAACCATTATTTTATCATGGAGGCTATGGCTGCATTTTTCGCGTTAATTCTCATCCCCTACTTTTACATCATGGTTTATCGTGAAACGCGCAAACGTAAACTAACACACATTACCCAAATAACTTTTCTGGTAAAAGCAAAACTCGAAAACAGAGTTGCTATCACGTGTACATTGGTCTCGACAGCTGTGATTGTTTCCTTTGTTCCCTTGGTAACTGTTGGCTTGTTGGGAGAATTGTACCCAGTCCTTCACAACAATTACGTCTTTCGGTCGGCAGAGACTCTACTGCAAATGAACTCTATAGTGAATCCACTTATTTACTGCTACAGAAACCGTCGCTTTAGAAACATCGTTCTCGAGATCTTATGCATTAGAAATCCCCCTGCTGCTAAGACAAAAGTTGGTCCCAGCCAAGTTGGTGCAATAAAGAAAAGACCTGTATCAGCTCCTTCAGTGAGATTACGCAGCAACCCTCCGCACACGCAGAATCCCTCGGCCATTTTATCAGTTGTTGCGACAGTCCACCCGCAAAGGTCGCAAGGACATGGTGATTCTTTTTCAATGTTTCACCCTTCATCTTCCACAGATTCAAAGAAAAGTTGGAAAGTTAAATGCAATCCTTTAAATGTGTCTGATCCACCACAAGATCTGATAAGGGAACAATACGCGTTCAATCGAAAAAATCTGAGTAAATATCTAACAAGATCTGCCTCATATAATGAGAGTGCAGGTTCATGTGGAACTTCGCCTCGATCTCCTGCAAGTCTCTTGAAAAGAAGTATGTCAGCCCCATCGTTAGGTCAGATCAAACGTTCCTGCGATGACACTCTGCACTGAGTCTTATACGTCTTTTGTTGAGACATCAGCCTTGATTGCTTTCACCATAAGTATTACCCTCCGCGCGGTCACTTCTGAATGTTAGAAACATGCCACTACAGCTAGCACCCGTATGAACACGTCACTTGCATTCCAAATTTCATTTTGTACGGAAAAATGCGATAAATAATGACCAAAACAACACTAACCACAACAACAATAAACAATTATTGAACGAGGTTGAGCAAAATATCATGATTTGTCAGTGCATAGCGAGCAGATCAATTATAATTTTGCCGAAGCCGACGGCTGAGGCAAATTAATGATCTGCGGGACACTGAAAAATCACGATATTTTGCGATAACCCAGTTCAATAATTGTCTTATCATTCAGTCACCGGTTTGTTTTTTTAATTGAATATCGCTCTCTGAAAGGTCAGCGAAGCGATCTGCCATTTTTTCGCAAGAGCGATCACAAGAAGAAGGAAAGAGTGGTTTCATTTACCCATGAGCAGAACATTATTTACAGCCAAAACACTTAGCCAAAACACAGGTAGACGGCATTGCGCATGAACAGACATTATTTGAAGGCAGTTATGTGCAGGTCACGTGGTGGGTTCTCGGCCAATGAAAAGGAAGAATAGCCTACGGTATTCACGACACACTATATTTACTAGAACGAGTTAATTATGGGAATCTTCTCTTAATTCAAGGAATTCAAAAGGGGTTGGCAAAGGTACGGATTTCACAGTAACTACAAGTATGGGTGCTTCGGTGACGGGATAGGTCCTTCTGATCAACGTTAAATCAGTTTCCTTAAACTGTACTCAAATTCTTCCATCAAAGCTGCGAATAATTATTCTTGTGAATATTCTTTATATATTTCGACTAGCAGTTTACTTCATGTTTTTTGTGCTGTACACCATACATGAAACGTTCATGGAATTGTCATAAGCGTTGGACATTTGGCAGGTTTAAAGGTCTTAATGGCCATACAATTCTTGCCCGTGAAAGTTGAGCTACCTATAAGTAAACTTACTTTTGATCACTTTTTCAGAAAATTAGAGCGGCTAATGGAGCCCAAATTATTATTTTTGAAAGATTGGTTGAATCTATAAGAAACCTACCTACCTATATGGTAATCACCCGCGATTAAGAACCTATTTTTTGAAGTCAAAATAGTTTCTTCTCCCAAGTGTCAAAGTTAACATTCACTGAACCTGTCTGATTAGCCTGAAGGTGGAGCAGGAACGCGTGACGAACCCATAAGAACATCTGCTTGGGAGGCTAACCTATTATTTAACAATTCAGTAATGAATGAGGCTAAGTATCTTATGAAGAATTATGGAGATCGAGGAGAGTGTCGGCCGAGGCGGATAACACCCTCCGAGATCTCCATAATTCTTCATATGATACGAAAGCCGAATTCAATAATTGTTTTATTATTCATTCAAAATATTTCTTTCTTATTGTCATGTTCACTTTTGTGGTCCGCAGTCACTTGTGTTAATTTCTTTGATGGCTTTCCAATTACGTTGCAATTGCTCTAACATAATATATATTTTTATTTTTTTGCCGATGTTAGGCTGAAAACATTATTGTGGAAAATATTCTTTGATTTAAGCGCTGATTTAATTTCGACCAGCGGTTAATAGAAAGAGTTCGTTACGTCACGTTGCCATGGTAGCAAAATTTCTGGATCTCAACAAACCGTGGTCCTGCAAATACGAAAGAAAAAAAAAAAAAAAAAAAAAAAACTCTGCACTGAGTCTTATACGTCTTTTGTTGAGACATCAGCCTTGATTGCTTTCACCATAAGTATTACCCTCCGCGCGGTCACTTCTGAATGTTAGAAACATGCCACTACAGCTAGCACCCGTATGAACATGTCACTTGCATTCCAAATTTCATTTTTTACTGAAAAATGCAAAAAATATACAACAAAACAACACTAACCACAACAACAATTAACAACTATTGGACGAGGTTGAGCAAAATATCATGATTTGTCAGTGGCGAGCAGATCAATTATAATTTGGCCGAAGCCGACGGCTGAGGCAGATTAATGATCTGCGGGACACTGAAAAATCACGATATTTTGCGATAACCGAGTTCAATAATTGTCTTATCATTCGGTCACCGGTTTGTTTTTTATTGAATATCGCTCTCTGAATGGTCAGCGAAGCGATCTGCCATTTTTACGCAAGAGCGGTCACAAGAAGGAGGAAAGAGTTGTTTCATTTACGCATGAGCAGAACATTATTTACAGCCAAAACACAGTTGGACGACATTGTGCATGAGCAGACCATTATTTGTAGGGAGTTATTTACAGGTCACGCGGTGCGCTCTCGGCCAATGAAAAGGAAGAATAGCCTAAAGTATTCACGACACACTATATTTACTAGAAAGAGTTAATTATGGGAATCTTTTCTTAATTCAAGGAATTCAGTGGGGGGTTGGCAAAGGTACGGATTTCACAGTAACTACATGTATGGGTGCTCCGCTGACGGGACAGGTCATTCTGATCAACGTTAAATCAGTTGACATAAACTGTACTAAAATTCTTCCATCAAAGCTGCGAATAATTTTTCTTTCTTGGGAGGACACATGGTCCGGTCAAGTCTGCCTTCTGTACAGACTTTTCCAAGGCTTAGTGAGGCCGGGCACGGAGTATTAAGGCGGGGTGCTGGAGATGAGCAAGCAGCGCGGGATGATGGGAACGAGCGCAGAGCGCGAGCAGCGAATGATGGGAAGGAAATGGCAGCTTCCCATCACTCTCTTCCCTCTCCCAAGAAGGTGATCGTGAGCGACTGGGAACCAGGTATCGTTCATTGGCTACCCTGTGTAAAACTGGAGACTTAGTACCCGCACCCCCGAAACGCCCGTAACGTACTGCTCGTGCGGATCCACTTCCCTTGCATCGCTTATGACGTCGTCAGTTTTAACGGTCAGGGAAACTTTGTCACCTAACTTGTGCAGCGTGAAGAGATCTTTCAAACCATACCAGAATGAGGAAGATTTATTCAATTCGGAGAGAGAAAGGGCAAAACCATGTAAAGGTGTCGAAAATTCCGCTAAAAATCTAGTCTATGTGTTTTCTTTCCTTTGTGTAAAGAGCGATTTCCTTTGACCGAGAACAATTCTTGCAAGGACCACTGGGACAAACAGCAGGGGAGAGAAGCCGGCTCTTGGGGTAGATCAGGAGCAACAGTGTAGAATAAAACTATAAATTAAAGGCAAGGCTGATCGGACAATTATGGATGGGTATGATATATCACCCAATTTTTCAGTTAGGCAAGACTAGCCTCAGGGGCTGGAAAAGTTAAGAGAAATTGAAATAAATGATTTACAGTACTAAAAAAAATAATACGTACATTATATTACGTATTATTTTTTATTATGTAACCGTAGTTTTGTTTTGTTTATTTTTTGCTTGTCTGACAAAAGCTGAAAAAAGTTTGGCAATGCAGACAGGTGCGATCACCAAATAACGCAACACAAAAAACAACAACAAAAAAGACACTGAACAAGACAAACACTGAAACACTTCTACGCTCGCCGTGACCAAAATAGCTCACCACGCTCAAGGGAAGTCTCCTTGCAACGAGAAGTGGCAACAAAAAGAAAATAATTTTTAGTTCTTAACAGAATATTTTTATTTTTCTGCCAATGAAATCTTAGGCGGAAAACATTCTTGTGAATATTCTCATATATTTCGACTAGCAGTTCAGTTCATGTTTTTTTGTGCTGTACACCATACATGAAACGTTCATTGCATTGTCATTAGCGTTGGACATTTAGCAGGATTAAAGGTCTTAAATGGCCATACGATTCTTGCCCGTTACAGTTGAGCTACCTATAAGTAAACTTTAATTTTTTTCGATCAGTTTTTCAGAAAATTAGAACTAAATGGGGCCCAAATTTTCATTTTTGAAAGATTGGTTGAATCTATAAGAAACCTACCTACCTATATGGTAATCACCCGCGATTAAGAACCTTCTTTTTTGAAGTCAAAATAGTTTCTTGTACTTTGGGTACTCATTGGCAATTTAGGCTATGTAGGTTTTTAATTAGGTTCCTAATTTTATGAAGGACATAATAGATTGTTGATTACCAGAAATATATATAACTTGGGTTTGGTCATTAAAAATACAGCGTATTTATTCACAATTGTTTTGTTATAACTCTAACAAAACTGATCACTGAATTTATCGACAGTTTTTACTTAAATTTTCAATCTCAAAGTTGCACTCCTTGGTTAACTTAATTATCATAATTTAACTGAAACCATGATATTGGAACCCGCTTGATCTTGCTTGGCTTAAAAGGTTTTTGTATTTTGGGGTATTAAAGTGGCAAATTTCTGCCAGGAAGTTCTTAATCCATGAGGGTTCTTCTTCGCGGGTGTTTACTGTAGTAAAATCAATTTTACAGAAACCGGTAGAGTTAAATGCAGCGCAAATTTTCATCTTCGAGAGACAGGTTCATTAGAATCTATTTCAAAATTTAACCAGAAATTTGCTTTGAATATAACTCACAAATGGAAGGAAGAAAACTAATGAGATCTCGAGAGCTTGTGCAGGAAATGCGAACCACCATACAATTCGCTTTTGTCTACGATAAAACCGTTATTCCTTTTTATTGTCTTCTTGCTGTTTTGTTCGCCTTGTCAGAAAGTAATCGCTCAACCATCTGCAAAATGTCAGTTTATCTTAAAACAAATCATAATTTAATGCAAAACAAGAAAATTTCCCGTTGTCTCAGAAATACTAATGCACCCACATACACAGAATTAGCAACGCTGGCCAAAAATAATGGCCGGAAAACTTAAATCGAAATTGATGATTAATCTCCCCTTAAACAGTACAGATCTCATAAAACAGTGTCAAAGCAGTGAGCATCAGTTATAAGGGACTTCAGACACAAGCAACTATGAACTCTTCGTCCGCGATCGGGTCCGTCTTTTCTTGCCCACAGTATCCCAACTTTGTGTGGGATCTAACTGACAAAGTCTTCCCCTGGATAATGGTCGCAATCGTATCTATCGCGTCTCCCGCTGCAGTCATTTTGAACATTTTGGTTATTGCAGCAGTCAGATCAAGAAAGGAACTACAAACAAATACGAACATTTTGTTGTCGAGCATGACTGTCGCGGACATTTTGGTAGGTGCGATAAACATGCCTTTATCAGCCATTGTTGACTTTGTTATTTCCCGGCAAGTTTTTGATGATCGTATTTGCTCAGTAGACTTGGTTAACGTCTACTTGATGCACGCTTTAACAACGTGTACCCTATACCATTTGATCCTTATCGCTTGGGACAGGTATCAGGCAATACGAAATTGTTATGATTACAAAGCGAAAATGACAAGACGCCACCTCAAGCAAGTCGCCATAACAGCTTGGTTCTTAGCCTCGTTAACACCAATTCCAGGTATTATAGTAACAACCCAGGGCATCAACTACGATTCTATCATTGAGGCTATCTCTGCATTTTTCTTGTTAAGTCTAGTCTGTCTAATCGCTTATTTTTACATCATGATGTATCGTGCAGCGCGCAAACGCAGACTTATTACCCAAGTCACTGCTCTGGTGAAAACAAAACTCGAAAACAGAGTTATTATGACATGCGCATTGGCTTCAGCAGCTGTTATTCTTTCCTTTGTTCCCTTGGTTACTGTTGGCTTGTTGGGAGAATTGTACCCAGGCCTTCGCAAGAGTTCCGTCTTTCGGTCAGCAGAGACACTATTGCAAATGAACTCTGTCGTGAATCCACTAATTTACTTCTACAGAAACCATCGCTTTAGAAACATCATTCTCGACATTTTACGCATAAGAAAACGCCCCGCAACCAGGTCAAAAGTTGCTCCCATGCAATACGTCAGATCAAAGGATCTTTTTTTAATGGAAGGTACTCAAAAACAACCAAATGCTTACAGCCGTCGTCTTTTGTCAAGATCAGCGTCGTGCGAATTAGCCAACGTGACAGAATTATTTGGTGGAATGAAGAAAAGACCTGTGTCATCTCCTTCACTAATCAGATCACATAGCAATTTTTTTGACAGTCCCCAGCTGCAGAATCCCTCGTCCATTTTAACAGTTGTTGCGATAGTCCACCCTCAAAGGCCCGAATTTTCAATATTTCATCCTTCATCGTCCAAAGATTCAAAGAAAAGTTGGAAAGCTAAATGCCATTCTTTTAATGTGTGTGATCCTTCGCAATATTTGATAAAGGAACAATACGCGTTCAATCGCAGAAATCCGAGTAAATATCTAACAAGATCTGCCTCATGCAATGAGCGCACAGGCTCATGTGAAATTTCGTTGCGATCTCGTGAAGTTCTCTTGAAAAGAAGCATTACGGCCCCATCGTTAGGTCAGATAGGAAGTTCCTCCAATGACACTACTCTGCACTGAGCCCCAGTGGTGGGGTACTCCGGATCTCAAGTGACAAGGATTATCGAATAGGGGCAAAAATCAGAACCACCTAAAAAATCCCTGGGGCTTCCAAGTTCTCCGGGGGGCCCGGGCTTCCCCTTATTTTTAGACCAAACTGAGCCCCGAAAGGCCNATAAAGGAACAATACGCGTTCAATCGCAGAAATCCGAGTAAATATCTAACAAGATCTGCCTCATGCAATGAGCGCACAGGCTCATGTGAAATTTCGTTGCGATCTCGTGAAGTTCTCTTGAAAAGAAGCATGTCGGCCCCATCGTTAGGTCAGATAGGAAGTTCCTCCAATGACACTACTCTGCACTGAGCCCCAGGGGTGGGGTACTCCGGATCTTAAGTGACAAGGATTATCGAATAGGGGCAAAAATCAGAACCACCTAAAAAATCCCTGGGGCTTCCAAGTTCTCCGGGGGGCCCGGGCTTCCCCTTATTTTTAGACCAAACTGAGCCCTCAAGGGCCGAAAAAAGTTTTTGGAGACTGTCCCCCCCCCCTTCCCCCTCCTGGTCTGGATGACCGGGCGTCCCGCTTATCCCAAGGTCTGCATCCGACAGTGGCTTCCTTCCTAAGGAAGGTCCAAGGTGGCAAGGAGCGAGGAGCGACGGCTGTATTCGCAGGCTGTGCAACGTTGAGTCCCCGGGAGGGGGGTACTCCTGGGAATTCTTGGTGGGAGTGTGCCGCCCGGTTCTCCAAATCCTGACCCCACTTCAGACCAAAAAATGTCATTTTCCACACCCGTTTTCAGACGAGACCTCTAAAATCCATACCCGTTTTCAGACCTCGCCTTTAGTCAGAAATTATGTCATCATAACTTAGATTAGAGCACAAACAAAAAAATTCATCAAATGCATTTCGAATTCGCATATTTCTCTTTCTTTCTTACTCATTTGGAATTGAAAAGGATAAATACATTCATACACTCTCGTAGTTCACCCGAAAACCATACCCGATTCCAGACCAAAATGGGCAAAGTCTAGACCGGTTTTCAGACCAAAACGGCCGAAAAACCCTACCAGATGGGGCGGCACATACCTATATAATTTATATAAGGGAGTGCCCCCCCCGGGCTTGAATCAGAAAAAAACGATTGAGATTGTTGTCACAATTCAAATGCTTAACGATGGAAGCCATAAGACAACATCGGTTGACCTCAGTTTATTTTACTGTTTCAAAGTCGGTTGGTTAAACAACTAACGGCAAAGCAACTACAACAATAAACTGAAAAGTTATAAGCAAAAGTTATTATAATTAAAGCCGGTTTACATACAAACATACAAAGTAGCGACCTGATCTTTAGTACTCTTTGTTACCTTATTAACAAGCGTAATTCATGATAGTTGAGCTGCGCTATTCTAAAGCAACTCTGCGTTTGGTCCCCTTTGAGCACTTCCGTATCGACCGCTTGCCCTTCGTCAGAAAGGATTTGCCCTGACGAATGGGCAAGCGGTCGATGTGCTCGAGATGGAATGGAATGGAATCCGGAATCACGGAAACGGAAACGAAAACGGAATATGGAATCAAATATCAATGATAGAAATATATTAAGAATTTCACATTCAAGAGAATTTGTTTTAGTTTGTCTTTGCAGTTCCCTTAATATATTCTTGTTAATGGGTCACCTATAGGGAAATATAACCCTATAGGTGTGCTATATAGTGTGATTTATTGCCCTGCCAGGCAGATAAAAGTACTTTTACAAGTAATTTACGGGTAAATAATACGGTTAAACATTTTAAGCATGAGTTCAGGAAACATTTCAAGGGTAGCAATAATTGGCTTCAGACGCGGGAGGGCGCTCATGGAAAGTATGGGTAGAGGTGTGCTGCCGAAGCCCTTTAAAACCTGACCGTGTTAAACACAAAAATTGCTCGTTTCACTAACCTGTTTAAGACAAGAGATCTTGTTTTAAGACCCTGATTTGTTTAGTTTTGCATACAGAATTATGTAGTTTTTCAAACTAATATCATGGAACTAAAGTTTTTGGAAAAAATTGTTGGTGCCACAAATGCAGACTGCTCATCTGGAGCCGGTCCTCACACTCTTTTTAACGCTCAGGGGCGGATCCCGGATTTTTTTTAGGAGGGGGTGCACTCGTCTCTTGCTCTACTTCGACACCAATAAACCACACAGGTTTTTTTTGCAGAATACCAGTTGTATTAGAAAACCTCAGGTCATCTCGGGGGGG